TGACAGGATCGAGAGGTGAGCGAACCTGGTATGTGTTCGCTCACCTCCCGATCTACTGGGCCGACCTGTGACAGTCTCATTGTCACAGGTCGGCTAGAACTATGAGGTGAGTGGAAATCACTCATCTCATAGTTCTCCTTTTAAGAAACCTGTCCTCTGCCATCTTATTTAAACCATTCAGGGCTTGTTCACACCAAATGTGGACCAGATCTGCATGAGTTTCTGCACATGCAGTGCAGTGTGTTTTGATGCGTATTTGACATGTTCCGGGGCCATTTAAAAAAAAAAAAAAAATTTATTTAGCCTAAAATGGGCTTTTACTGCGTTCCAGGGCGTTTGCATGTGTTTTTTATGCGTTTTGGTGGGTTACAGAGTAGAAAAAATAGGGCATGCTGCAGTTTTTCCACATGCTTTGGAACGGAACGCTCTTGTGTGAACTACCATTGGAATACATTGGATGCATTTTTTATGCGTTCTGTAACTGCTCTGCTCCGCATCTGCTCCTCACTTGGTGTGAACAAGCCCCCAGAAATAAAGTATTAAAACAAAAATTCTAGAATGTTTTTATTTGAAAAATAATCAGTTTTGTATATTGAAATGGGTGGAGTGGGGCATCTGCACCATTATCATTATGTATGTGGTTTATGTTCTTTTGTTTGGTGTTTTTTTGTTTTTTATTGTTTTAGTTCTATTTGGGTATTCAATTTTCCAGCCATTTAATTTTCTATACAATTTTTCTAGCACTGAAATGTAAATGTTTTGTTAACTTAGCAAGCGTAGGCTACATTTTGTCTTTCATTGTATATCTAACTTTCTTCTTTCCAGGCTTATGCATCTGTTGTGTTTCCAACTAGTAACACTTGTTTAATTATCTCTGCTGCAGGGTAGACCCCATCCCTTATGACACTCCCAAACCAGCCGGCCACACGCGTTTCGTCTGCGTATCTGACACACACTCCAGGACAGATGGCATCCAGATGCCATACGGGGACATTCTGCTGCACACGGGTGATTTCACCGAGCTGGGCCTGCCTTCGGAGGTTAAGAAGTTTAATGACTGGTTAGGTAAGGATCTGTTGCTTCCCAGTGACCCTGATTAACCTCTTTTTTTGGCCATCTCACTTATTGTCCTCTAATTGAATGTACGCACTTGATTCTTCTCTGTGTTCTGCTTCTGATGCTGATGAATCTGCAATTAAAGGTGAATTAAGAGCGTGAAGCTACAATTTTACATTCTTTGTGTTTACGCTGTACAAACACAAATAACCGTGTCTGCTATTTAACATACTTGTACAGCTAATTCAATTCTGGAAACACGTTTGTGCATAGTAAGTAAGGACGGCATCTAAAGGAGAAGCGTACTCAAAATGAATATGTTGTTGGCGAACGATATTGAGTTTTACATCCAAGTGGCTTGTAGCCGTCAGGTTTTTGGTAGTGGGATCTCTTATGTGAATATAAAGTGACATTCTAACACCCTAGAATGAGGATACTTATTTTCAAAGATTAACATTATTTTCAGTTGTCCATGGAGATTTAATAGACATGTAAAGTCCCAGCATATCCTCTCCTGTTATAACATCAGCATTGTAATAGGAATACATACTAGAGGTGTTTTTGTTAATGCAACGATTAGAAAAAAATCTTTTTATGTAGTGAGTGCTGCCTTCAGTCTGCCCATTGCGTTCACCAACTTTCTGGATTCCCAGTGTGCTTTGCATCTCTTTCCTTGTTGCTTCATGTGGTGCAATCTTGATTTCTCAAGACTACATATCCCATCATGCATTGCTTCCAGCAAGCAATGATAATGTTACATTGTTCAGATGTTAAGTTGTAGTTCAGAAGGCAGGCTCTGAAGGAAGTGCATATTTACAGGGCTGAGGGAAATTGTGGGAGTACATCCTTTGGGCATCTTCAGTAAAAAAAAGTTTAGAAACGTGTAACTGGATATGGTTTTAAGGAGTGGACTAGAACCTTTGAAAATTCAATATAGTACATATTTATTTTTAGTTTTTGACCACAGATAAAGGTGTACTCAGGATAAAAAAAGAGATTTGTGTTACATATATTTGAAAACACATGTAAAGGCCACACTGCCTATATTTCTGATTAAGTGTGGCCACTAACTCAACATTTTTTGAATTTCCACACTGTGGAACATGTATAACAATGCACAGAGAGCAGGCTTACTTGGAGTCAGCCATATCCTACCTATAGGTACAGCAATACTCCAGAAGCCAAGATTTTGCCTTTACATGAAAGCTTCAGACTTCCCGTATGTAACAGCGCAAAAAAAAAAAAAAATCATAGATGGTGGCATACGCTCTGATCTGTTTAAAAACTATCAAAGAAGGAAAAGTGCATATGGGCTGGAAAATACACACAACACGTACAAAAGGACATCTGGTGTGTTGCTGTAGCTATAAGGGGGAGCCCCACTCTAGGTGAGCCTGCTCTCTGTTTGTGCATTTCTATATATGTTCCACAATTTGATCATTCAGATAGGGTAGAGTTAGGGACCACACTTATTGTAGGTGCAGTGTGGCTTCTATGTGCATTTGCAAATATATGCAACTAAACACTCTGCAGTTAAAAAACATTTTTGCAATGGAATATGCATCTGGCAAAAACAGATGCGTACAGTTCCAGCCTTGGACTGAATTCCCCAGTAACGCACATTAAAGCCCTCTTTTCTGCAATACATGCATGCACAGCCAGTTAGAACACATCTTTGTTATAGCCCACTGCTGCACAAATGTCAACATTCTGTGCATTGTGTACACTGCTTGTTTAATATAGTGCAGGTACATTATTTGAACATTTTTGGGCTTGTCTCAATATACAATATCAAGTGTCAGTGGTCCCCCTTTTTTTTGCAATGCAACTGGGCGCAGCCATCTCCTCACAAGTTCTTTAGGGCGGTCTATTGTGCGCCTTTCATTTTTGATTGAACAATGCAAAGGCAGCTATACACAGCTTGAATTTTGGCTGATTCTTGCTGAATCGCCCGGAATTTGAGCCAAGCAATAGTTGGCTCCACGAGGGTCAACTGAAAAATCCAAGGAGCTGCGTGGAAAATAGACTGCAGTTTGGCTGACAATCACATACAGTTGCTTTTTGGGTATTCAAGCAACCGCAGGTGTCGACTGTCTGAATGCAAAAGCTTGCAGAGAAGGTTTCTCCATCCATGCTGTTTAACGTGAATGGGAGAACTGTTTTGATTTATCTCACTCAGTCCGTGTGTATGGCTATACACAGTGACCTGCATTTTTACAGGCCATTTAAAGAATAAGTATACCAGAGATTGTATGGATTTGCTAAGTAGGTTAATCACATGAATGCCAGGATGAATGTTGGATGCCCTCTAACGGGTTGTTCGTGCCTGCTGAGTCATTTTTTAATATAAAATGTTTATGTTTTGTGGTAGTAGACCAATAAAATCTGCTGTCTACAGTGCTTCTCATTTGTGATGCTGTCACTCCAGGTCAAGGCAAACTCGATCTTCCTGTGGTTAGAGCCAGTTGATGTCTTGTGTAATGCTTGGCTGATTTTGTTCCGTTATTGACTTTTAAGCAGGGTCTGTCTCTTTATAGTAGCCATGCCGGTACTAAGGAGGTGGGAGAAATAACAGAAGCAAGATGACAAGTGTGGCATAACCTTCTCCATGGTATACATCATCCTTTCTCTCCCCTTCTGCTTTTCAGAACACTTGTGTCACCCACACTTTTTCATCAACTTAAGCTGCTAATTATTCTAACTCATTTTTTTTTTTTTTTTACTGGGTTTGTCAGTATAGTGGCCAAGGGTAAATAGCGATTATCTAGAAGCCCTAACAGAAACCAAATAATTACCAGCAGAATGAATTTTTCTGAAATGCTGTGCATGAGAGACAAACTCAGAGTAAATACGCTGCATATGTTTTTGGAGTCTAAAATAGATGACAGGTTCTCTTTCTTTACTTGCCTCCATAGATCAACGTTTCTCAGCCTTTTTTCAGTGAGTGCCTTAGGGTGCCTTGAGATTTTGCATAAAAGTATGCAAAATCTCAATGCACCCTAGACTAAAGCGAAAAAACGTAAATGGTAAAATCAATGTGTGGCCTCTCTAAAATCCATACCAGACCCTTATCCAAGATAGGGATCTGATATGGATTTTAAGGTAGGGCCTTATGCTAAAATAGAAAACAAAGTGCAGTCCCAGCTTCACATTAGGAGCCCTTCACACATCAGAGTCCCCTTTGTACATGACAAGCCCCCCTTCACAACAGAAGTGCCTTCTTCATGTGTGAAAATTTCAAGTCACCCCTGAAGAAGGCAGCAGGCACCCTGGTTGAGAAAGTCTGTCTTAGAATGCATGATCCCGCTGCATCATTTAACGTCTCACCCCAGAGACTGTATTATAATGTATTTTGTGCCTGCTTAAAATAAATATATATATATAGCGGGAGAGAGACACACTCACAGGTCTTGCAGCAGGAGAAATTTTAGTAAATAGCTGTTTGTTTTCTGTCTGATGTTCGTATGGAGCTTTTTTAATTTGTATCAGATTTGGCAAACCCTTGCACTGCATTGTTGTAGATAGAGCTAAAGGAAATTGTACAATCAGATTGTAACGTGTTGGGTGAGCTTTATTGATCCCACATTGTGGAAGTCCCTTGACACGGCAGTGTGGCTTTCTATGCATGTTGCAGATGACCCCAGATAGCAGTGGATCCATTATTGTCAACTTTCATAATGATCATATTTAGCAACACAAACGCATTTTGTAAATGTAATCCTCCTGTCTTTTTGAATATTTGTAGCATTGTACAAATTGTGACAAGTTCTCTTTAACATTCCCATGCATGAGATCGCTCCTCTCATCTTTTGCTGAATGAGAGAACATCTTAGATGAAGGAATTTTAAAGAGAATTTGCCACTTTGCAGTGCTTTTATTCAGGCAAAATATGCAGCTTGGCTTACATTTGTAACATCACCTGCATAATAGATGACACATCTATGTCAAATCAAATATCCAATAACATTTTAAAAATTCACATTTTACTGACAACCAAGTATATCAAAATACACTTTTTAGTAAAAAGAAAATGTAAAATAGGAACTTAGAACAATAAAAACAGAGCAAAACAGCCCTTGAAATTGCTTATAATGTTCAGCACTAAAACATGTGTTCGCTTATGACAAGGCGACGTGGGACTCAACGTTCATTAAGAGGATATGAACTGGCTGCGGAAGGAGATAATCAAGAGCAGTCTCAATAAAGACACTCTGTCACTAGATCATTTATTTCAGCCACAATCTTCTTTTAAGAAATTATAAACATTTGACACATTTTAGGCATTTTATTTACCTGAAAAAGCCTCCCTTCTGTAGACATCCTAAGCCCTGAGACTGCTGCTGAGAACCCCCATCTTGGATTTAATGTCAGCAGCCCTAGCAGGCTCAGAGCTGTCACTTACATTCTATAGTATTCCCTTTTGCTCCTGCCCTGGACAGATACATAAAAGTTTATGTAGGAAGGTGAAGAGGGGCAGAGGAGATGGGCCAGCAGATACAGCAGTTAGGCTCATCCAGAAGAGATTGTCTGGCTGTCAATCTAATCCAATGGCTACTTTTAGTCAGCTGCCTTAAACAAGTATAATTACCAGGAGTTCCTACTGTGTTGCATACATGCTTTTATGTGTGTGGGCCAAAATCCAATCAATGTGACAGCCAGGCAACTAGATAATTTAGAAGGAGATCAGTAGTGGCAGGCTCTGTATTTCTCTCTGTACAGGCTACCTTTAAATAAACAGTCTCTCTTCCTTCTTTCTTTCTGAGCATGCTCATTTCAATGACCAGTCGGAGTATTGTACTGTGCATACGCATACACAGTGGGCTGTCTGCAGCCATGTGAACTGCCCATATTGAGCAGGCTCTCATGCTCCTTTAGCCTGTTCCTTTGTCCTCTCCTGCAGCTGCACCTCACAGCTCCTGCCTGTGGCATGTAAAGAAAAAAAACCAGTATGTGCCACATGCCAAACGGTATGTCATACAATGTCGGGAGAATAAGGGTTCATTCTGGGC